AGGGAAAGAAGAAAGTAGAATAAATTAGGATAAATATAGCGACGGCAAAGTGGATTCATGCGTCAGCTACATCCGGAATGTCTCCGCTGACGCCACCTACTTCGTCGAAAATATCTATGAGAGGAAGAAGCTTCGGCTTGCTTCCAAATGGAATGGCTGGCACCATCTGCCGGGACGGGCGCGAACGAATTTCAACCGTAGCGTCCCCCCAGCGACATTCGTGTGAGCGAACATGAAACACGGCGACGGTAAACAGGAAACATCAAATGGTAAACGACAAACGTTAATCGTGTAATTTGTGGAGCCTTATAGCTTCATTTCTGAAAGATATACAGCTAAAGTACATTCGAAAAGTCGATATACCACGCGAATAAGAGATCCGGGAAAGTCGGCAAATCCGCATCCCCAATGAAGGACTCCGGGAAGAACCAGCAAGAAAAAGAGAGGGTTAAAAACTACACGAACATTGGCGAATTTGGTATATTGGACAACAAATAGGCTCACCGGCAATTCCGCTTTCTCCGCGGATAATTTGGGGTGGACCTAAAATAAAACAATGCTGAATTAAATAGACATACGGGAGACCCATATAAAGACCATTAAGATCAATTAAATATCATAGTTACATATAGAAGAATGGTCACACGGTGCTGGTAGTACTATGAAACTCTCCTGTACCTGAAAATAGAGAACGTTAGATAAATTAAAAATAAATTCAAAACGGCAAAACGCGGGTACTGAGATAATGCTATTCGTTTTGTATTGTTAAGTAGCCGGGTAAGGTGTAGACTTTATTATAAATGGTGCATATTTAAAGATCTAAACGATAAGTGCATAAATTAGGCGAACCAGTGCTCCCCGGTAACACCTACGGGGACAAAATAGACGTCTATAGGGACGAAGCGCAAACAAAAACTGACAATCATGTACCTGTGCTACGTGCTATTCGTTCGTTTCGTATCGTTAAAATGAGCCGGGTAAGGTGCAGACTGTACTAAAAATGGGACATATTAAGAATTTATATCAGGCGAGTAGATTTTAGGATTTCCGAAAAAGAACATACGGAAAACGGGGTGGTTGGTGCCATCTCGCAAGCGCGGGGAGAAATACACGCCGGCTAAAGGTACCTCCGGAGCCATTTGGCGAAGTGGTTCCGGACCACATGGAGTCGGTACAGAAGGTAATTCTAAAACGAAAAGTTTAAATTAAACAGCGAATAAGAAAATAGAGAAAAGGGAAAAGACAGTGAAATCAGCGTACCTGCTAACCTGAATTCTCGGCGACGAATCCTGGAAATAAATAAAAAACAATAAACGCGCTTTTCCTCACCGACCAATGTTCGATTGCGGAAAGGCGTAGGAAAACGAAGAACTCCTGGTACCAAAACTTGAAAATAAGAGGAAAGAAATTAGAGACGTGATTGCAGTAAAGGTTCGGTAAGAGTTCCGAAGTCGGGACCACTGTGTAACAGCTACGAAAAAGGTAGTAGGTTTCTCAAACTCTTTGTATTTTACCGACACCGACGGAAGCAGAAAGGGACAGCAGCCAAAGAAGAGAGAGGTATTGAAAGTCGAGCCAGTCCTAAAATATCAAACACCTACATATCGATGAGACAACACTAATGCAAAAGAAAAACTTTTATTTTTTGAATTAATACATATTTACATACATCCACACTTTATTATGTCTTTACTATATCTATTAAATATAAGACACCTAAAAAACATTACATATAAGGATTTACAAAACATTATGGAAAATTCTAAGATGATACATAATTAAAAAATATAGGAGCAATTATAAGAAATTAAATAAATTACAGGATATTACAAAGTTATACAAAATTAAAAAATTACAAAAGGTCAAAAAATTCAAAAGAATTACTAAAATTAATGAAACTAACAAAAAATTACAAAACTACAACTTGCACCTATTTATAATTATACAGAATGTTAACGGATTTACTAGTCAGCGTAGAATAGAATTTAAATTCTATTTAAAAAATTGAATGTCATCTTCATCCGTTAACATTCTGTATAAAGTATGACTATCTATAATTATATTATTTATTTATAGTTTTTTACGCTGAATCTTCTGATAATAGTTTGTTTAATTCCAACGTCAATTTAGTGCCTCGCATTGAAAAAAATGTTAAGCGCTGCACAATATGTTTTATACGCTCCGATTTCGAGCTTGTGGCTGTCCTCTCACTTTCACACGCATCTTCATTTTCTTCACTTTCTTCTTCTTGTGAACATGCAGATAGGAATGCTGTCGCTACTGCAGGTGAAATTTCTCCTTCGCTTATTGCTGAAATTAATTCTTCTAACTGTTCCTCTTCTTCCGGATATGTGGCAATTGAAGGCTCCGCAATTAGTCTATTCCAGCCATTTTTTAAATTTTCCACAGTTACCTCGGACCACGCTTGTATTAATATTTCTAAGCAGTCTTTTATATTATAATTTTTATAAAATTCTGTGATACCTCCTGCATACGTCAACACTGTTTGAAGCATATGCTTCCTGTATAGTTTTTTCGTTTTTGCAATTATGCCCTGGTCCATGGGTTGTAGGATCGACGTCGTGTTTGGCGGTAGATATATTATTTTAAAATCTTCCTGGTGTTTTAGATCTTCGGGCACTCTATGCGCAGCGCAATTGTCCAGTAATAAAATTACTTTCCCAACGGTGCCATTTTTCAATTGATGTACGCGCACCGATGGTTCGAAATGGCTTTCAAACCAACTTACAAATATTTGTTTGTCAACCCACGCATTTTTTTGGGCTTTAAAGATTACAGGAAGCCTGTGTAATACATGCTTCAATGCTCTTGGACTATGGTACTTATACACAATTAAAGGTATCATTTTATTTGTTCCAGTCGCGTTAGCGCAGAATCCTAATGTAAATCGGTCTTTGCGACTTTTATATCCATTTACAACATTTTTATCGCAAGAAAGCGTTTTTGTTGGAAACGCTTTCCAGAGAAGACCACTTTTATCCATATTGTAAAAATGGTGCAGATTAATATCCTCTTCTTGTATTAATTGCCAAAAATTTTGAACAAATTCCTTTGCTCCATCTTCGTCTATACTTGCTTTTTCCCCATAGGCTTTAACTAAACGTATGTCATGTCGAGATTTAAATTTAGCAAGCCACGATGTACTAATTTTACCATTGGAACAAGATGGAATATCCAGTTTCATATCTGCAGCTTTTTCCAACATTAAACTATCGGATATAAAATCCCCAAGAGTTCTTCTTTGTACAAACCACGTAAACAAGCGGTACTCCAATTCCTCGAACAACGGTTTTCTTAACCTTTGCCGTTGTAGGTGTCCTTTGCTTTTTGCAGCAAATTCGAGAATATAGGCCGTGTTCTTCTTTATGTGACGAATGGTTATTTGATGTACCTGATACTTTGCAGCAACGGTTGAAATGGATAATGTTTTCAAGTCCTCAAGGACCTGTAGCCGTTGTTGCATTGACAAAGTCACTGCTTTTTTTCTCGACATGATAGTATATTATAAATGTGGAACGCACTCTTGAACTCTGATTTAAAACTGAACTTCGGTATGCCACGAATTTCTTGTCCTAGCTATCATACCCCTTCTATGAAGGTGGAAAATGTATGAAATTCTTATTCCTGATAGGCAGCTATGCGTTAACCAATAAGGTTTTAGCAAATTTTCCCTTTTTAGAAACGGCCACGAACAATTAACCCTCTCCAGAATGCTAGAGAATGCGTGTTAGCGACAGTACATTTTTGAGGGTGGTCGAGGTCAGTTAGCTTGGTGCTATTCAGCATTGGAGTAATTTATGATAGGTACTTAAACCGCATGTTGCCAGTGAAAGTACGAGGGACGATGTGCAGATATGGGCACATATTCATTGATGGCTAGCGACTGAAAGTCACGTAGTTCTCAAGTATCGTGAATTTTATTTTTTAGAATAAGACAGTTTAAGGATATCAAGCAACCCATGTGTTCCGTCGCACAGGTACGGTACGGTACGGTACGCATGGGGTCTTCGTTGACCGGGTTTATGGCACGCTCGCACTAGAAGGTTATTTTTGAGAACAAAGACGCTTCGTAGCTCCGCGAAAAAATAAGTAATTTCTTACAGAACAATGCCTTTAGAATTTCCACTTTTCCGCGTCCTCAATAACCGAACACGTGTCATAACGTTCGAGTAGAATAGATATCCAATCAGTTATCCAAGATTAATTGATTGTTGGGTTGATTGTTTAGAAGAAGGCAGGAGAAAGTTTAAGGATGGCAAGCAGACCGATGTTGTATTGCTTTAAAAATAAGAATATTGTTCGCGAAGGGTCTGCCCACGCAGTGGGGAAGACGATGGTCTTCTGGTAAGAGGACTGTGAGGGACAACAAATTGATACCCCAGAACCTTCAACACATACGAACATTTTATTAGTAAAATTTTTAAAAAATTACTAAATTATAATTGTTCGCAAACTGCTTGCGAACTGCATGTAAAGAGTCCTGAGTAGTGTAATAATTCACAATAATTCACATAGGAGTGTAAACAACTCCTATGTGTGTTCTTATGTGTCATTTAAACTCGTCAGAGGTCAAATTTCGTTTCTTCCTATACTCTAACGGATCAAAGGCAATGCCGCTTAGGAACAGTTATCCTAAAAAAGAGTGTCCCATTCGAGAATAACCGGATAGATTCAGTTCTAGTTCTGATTAACAGTTACCTTTTGGCACAGCTAAGAGAAATGGTGTTACATTCTGTGATGTAAACAGTGAAATGAACGTAGCGGGCAAAGGAAGATTCACAAGCCCAATCGACACAACCAAGTTTTGTAACAATATCGTATTTGGTATCATTTTAATTAGGAAAATCTCTCCAATATTTTAATGAAATTTTTATTAACGAAAAATTGAAAATAACAAACTTTTGTAATTTTGTTAGCATTGTCTCACGGACATGCTGACGCCAAATGCGATAAAGAGATGCCGCGGCCGTGTCACATTAGTCGCTTGCCTGGTTCAAGGGTGGTTCCCCCTTGTGGCGGGGACAGACCATGAACCGTTCGCGTACAGATCCCAAAAAACTCTTATAGAACTTTTACTGTATATCACTTTCACGCTCCCTCTAGCTTTATCGCTCTTAAAACCAGTATTTCAGAATTTAAATGAAATGTTAAAAACTTTTAAATTTTCTTCGCCTTGTTATAAACAGCAGAAAAAGTATCGAGGAAAATGTGATTCATTGTTATTCTTCAGAGAATCGGAATAAAAGAAACAATACTTAGTTAATACACAAGTTAGTTAAAATTTGGAAAATTAATTAGCCAATTTCATAATTCAAAGAAAATCAAACATTCCCAAAACCGCATAAGTCATTATATTTTTTAGGTCATCCCATGAGTAAGATTCTTTTATCAAGTATGCTAGTAATAAGTAATAAGTATACTTTATTAGTTATTATTGTATTATATATTTTCCTTCGTCTTTTAAAAGTGTTTTCATTTTTACCAAATTTACATACTGAGAAATTTCACGACTTCCGTCAGCTTTGCAAATTATTTTCATTCTTTTTTGTAGCACCTCCAACATTAACCAGTAATATCTGTGATAATATAATCACTGTGGTTACATTGCTTTTCTTTTTCTGCAACTCTATCATGTTTTTATTGTTTCTCCTTGCTTTTATTTTGACAAAATATTCCACTTGAACTCGTCCAGATTTTATGGCCATAAAAATTGACCTCTATTTCCTTGTATATGTACTTCCATGGAATAAAGAACAACATAAGGATGAGTCAGCTAACTTTAGAATCTTCAATGTATTTCTGTATACTTTAAAGGAAACGTTTATAAGAGTCAAGTTATTAAATTCAAGTAAGAAAAATAGTATTTTAATAAAAGTTTAATCTCCAAAGTTATAATTTTAAGAATTTCAAAACTTCAGCATTGTTTTTCTTTTTCTTAATGAATTTGTACCTTTTTATTGCTATGGTGTTCCAGTTAGCAAAAGAAATAAATTATTTTAAGATACTATTATTAGGAAACAAGGGTTAAAAACATACCGTTTCAGTAACCTTCATTTTTGTAATCATTCTTTTTGCCAATGCATCATTTTATGGATATTATTCCGAATGGCCCCAGTA